CCGGGAGGCGGAGCTTGCAGTGAGCCGAGATTGTGCCACTGCACTCCAGCCTGGGTGACAGAGCAAGACTCCAACTCAAAAAAAAAAAAAGAAAGAAAGAAAATGAAAAACCCAGGACAAATGAAACTGGTGGGACAGTGGGACAGTGGCCATAAATTGGGACTGTCTCAGGCAAACTAACACACTTTACCAGACATTTGTCCTTTCAAAAATCTTTGAATCCCAAACTCTTGATTACTGTTTTCCTGTCAAAAAGACTGTGCCCTGAATGTGAATCACTTGTTTGTGACTAGTAATTTCCACAGCATTATGCACATGGAAAAGAATGTGAAGCATTCTTCTTAGCCAGTTTTATTCATTGCGGCATTTCTTTTTTTCTGGAACATTTTCTATTTATCTTAAAACTTTTATTAAATTTTGCATGCTTTCATTTTTAAACTAAAGACATGTAATCAACTATGGAATTATTTTCTTCTACATTAGTTCTTTTGTTATCTTAATAAAAATACACAGTAACTAGAAATGAAACTTGAAAATAAGGTACTATTTACATATATTTGATAAAAACGGATTATCTGAATATGATTATAATAATACTTTGTATTCTGTTACAGAATTAATTAAAAGGATTTATGGTATATCTTATGACTCTACAGGAGCCTTGGGATATAGGTAAGTGACAAGCATTTTTTGAAGAGACATTTCTGAAACATTAAGTAATTTGATCTCACAGGTTCCTGGCAAAGTAGACAGTGGGGCATATCTTACTTCAGCAATTTACCTCTTTTCTCTTCAATGTAACATTTGTAGAAATACCACATTTACTTGAATCTTCATGTAACATTTCCCTAATAGCTAAAAAATCATATTTCCCAGGGAATTTTAGGCTTATTTTCTATAATAATTATAATGAGGATATTATTTATAAGATATAGGAGTGTGGCATGTAGCAAAACTTAAAGCATTAAAAAAAATAACTAAATGCAATATGGTACCCTGGGTTATACCTAGGAACTAAAAAAAGACATTAGTGGAAAAACAGGTGAAATATAAATGAAGTCTATATTTCAGTTAATAGTAATCAATTAGAAATTAATCAGTGTTAATTTCTTAGTTTCGACAAATGTCCCGTGGTTATGTAAGATGTTTAACTTTATGGAAAACTGAATGAGGGGTATATAGGAACGCTATAGTATTTTTGTATCTGTCTTCTAAATCTAAAATTATTTCACAATGAAAATTTATTTGAAGCACAAAAGTCAGAGTTTATTGATTCAAAATGCATAGTTTAGAAGTAGATTTTCTGGACCAAAATAAAAAAAATTAATTAAAAAAATCCAGATTACATAAAAATGATTCAAGGAAATACATGGCTATAGGTTTCATTTTTCAATTTATAGGAAGTATGCAATTTTATTTTTTTAACATTGGTGATATGGTTTGGATTCGTGTCCCTGCCCAAATCTCATATCAAATTGTAATTTCCAGTGTTGGAGGAAGGACCTGATGGAAGGTGATTGGATCATGGGGGCGAATTTCTTTCTGCTTGTTCTTGTGATAGTGAGTGAGTTGTCATGAGATCTGGTTGTTTAAAAGCGTGTAGCACCTCCCCCTTCACACTCTTCCTCTTGCTCCGGCCATGTAAGACGTACCTGCTTCCCCTTTGCCTTCCGCCGTGGTTGAAAGTTTCTTGAGGCCTCCCCAGCCGTGCTTCCTATACAGCTCGAGGAACCATGAACCAATTAAACCTCTTTACTTTATAAATTACCCAGTCTTGGATAGTTCTTTATAACAGTGCAAGAAAAGACTGCTATAATGGGCATGGTGTTTGCGGACATCTCCTCGTACTCGGTTACAGGCTTTCTCTTTGATGCTTTCAGCCACTTGTGTTTTTTGGTCCTTTTGTGTAACTTTTTCTGTTATTCCAAGCAGGCCCTTTAAATGGTTCCCAGTACACTTCTTTTTCTTTTCTTTAGTGTATTGTTTAGAGACGAAAGTCCAATAATGTGACTCAGTGGTTTGGAGACCCCGTTAGTATAGTTTTGTTCAGTCACACTACTGGAGCTTCTAGGTCAAGTAGTAGACACAGTAGACCTATTGTTAATGAGTATGAATAAAGATGAGCATAACTCTTACATAGCCATTTCTGTAATTGAGCTAAAATAATACAGAATCTATTGCTGTCAGATAATAAAATTCTCAGTTTCTAAAATGGACTCTAGCATGATAAGTATTTTAAATTTCTATAAATATTAAAAGACTTATAAGAAGGAAATTTTGTAGTTTGCCAAAACTCTTATGTAACTTTTCATTAATAAAAGTAAAGTAGCCATGCAGGTCTTGTGGATGGTTTCCTGCTTCTGCTGCCAAATTTAATGATTTTAGTTAAATTTCATAAAGGGAAATATAAATATATTATATTTAAAGGATATAGACACTTAAAAGAGCAGACCCATGCCTGAATAACTCTTGCAGAATAATTGTCCAGCTTCGAAATTTCTGTGTTGCTTGGTAGTCTTTAGTCAGAATTGGTGTTAACAGTCTCATGTTAATAGAATTACAGTTAATGGAATTATAATCTATTTTTTAGTTGTTTAACATGATTGTGCTAACCTTGGTTAGGAAGTTTAGAAAAAGACAGGATCGTTTTCTCAGGCCAAGTTCAAATTACATTGATCATGTAATAGTTCACACAAAACAAGCAAACAAGAAAAACTTGTGTTATTCTGTGCTAGAAGAGCATTAAAAGTGTTGTTTTTAGGGACATGCTTACCATTCAGCTGATTGTAATTTGTGGTCATCAAAGTGTAAATAAGAATAGCTAATATATATTGAACATTTTTTTTTTTTTTTTTTTTGAGATGGAGTCTTGCTCTTTCGCCCATGCTGGAGTGTAATGGCACAATCTCGGCTCGCTGCAACCTCCACCTCCTGGGTTCAAGTGATTCTCCTGCCTCCGCCTTCTGAGCCGCCGGGATTACAGGCATGGACTGCCACAACCAGCTAATTTTTTTGTATTTTTAGTAGAGACAGGGTTTCACCATGTTGGTTAGGCTGGTCTCGAACTCCTGACCTTGTGATCTGCCTGCCTCGGCCTCCCAAAGTGCTAGGATTACAGGTGTGAGCCACCATGCCTGGCCTGAACATTTCCTATGTACTAGGCACTTTACTTACATTATCTCATATAATCTTCACAATTACCTATGAGATAGGTTGGAATTCCCTTTACAGATGAGGCTGAATGAGAACAGCTGTCTCCAGTCTAATTCTGAGATGGGGAGGTAGACAGAACAAGTGCCTATTATATAGTACAGCACCTGCTGTTTATTTATAATATAGTACAGTACCTGCTGTTTATTTATAGTTATAATATAGTACAGTACCTGCTGTTTATTTATAAGCAGCTCCCAGGAAATGCCATCATGTTTCCATAGATGTGTAGTAAACTTCAGATTACTTCAGCTTTTCTAGGTAAGAGTATCTGATCACACTGGGTCACCTAGAGTGGATTCTCCTGGGGTGAACAGCCTGGAGTAAGGACTTGTGTTTCTTGTCTAGCTTTGTTCTGGCTCATTCTGCAGTCCCCTAACATGTCAGTTGTTCCCTGTCACCTGATTAATTGCTGAATACTCACTCATTGTGTGCTTCACTGATCACATGCCAAGAACTTTTGGCAGCTCTTGGGAACATGCTCTCCACGTGCCTCCTGGTAACTGTTGAACAACTAGAAGTTCCTAGTTGTTGTGGGAACTTTGATCCAGAACCTGCAACACATGCCAGAGACCAGGGATGGGGTAGTTGAGCAGCTGACGGGTGAAATGTAGCTATTCAGATTGTTAGTTGGTCAGGAGTCAGAAATAGAGTAGGCATGTGACTCTAAAAAGTGGTTTTTGAAGAGGATTATGATGGTTGGCTATGGACTTCATAGTTTGTAGACAAAATAATTCTAACTTCTTTTTGAGGAAGAGTCATAAAAATACAAAATCTCCTTTACTATCTTCTATCTTCTCTTTATGATCTCTAAAAGTTGACATTTCTCAGGGCTCAGTCCTTAGCCTTCTGTATTTATTTTCCACATAATCTCATGTGATCCCTTGTTTTAAATGCCATCTGTTCTCCCAAATTTACAATTTCTTTACTTTGGTCTCTCCCAGGAGTTCTAGACTTATTTTTATGTCTTTTCAACATCTCCATTTTGGAGTCTAATAAACATTTCAAACTTAATATGTCTAAAATGTAAATCTTGAACTTTTCTCCCTGTGTAGATGATATACGGAGTTGTTCCTGGCCAAAAACTCAGAGTCATGTTGGACTTTTTCTTTCATATCCCATATCCAGTCCATTAGTAAGGCTTATATGCCTTCCTTTCAAAATGTATCCCAAATTACCCCTACCCCACTCCTCACCCTTACTGCCCTATTATAAGTTGCCTAGGTGATAATAATCATCTTCTAACTGGCCTTCCTTATCTCCTCGTTGTATCTCTCCATTTAATCCTCCATATAGGAGTAAAAGGTGTTTTTGTTGTTGTTGTTTTTTGTTTTTCTTTAATGTTAAACAGTTTCTGTCATTCCTCTGTTCAGAACCCTTCGGTGGCTACCCAGCACACACAGTATAAAATGTTGTCTCACATGTTCTACCAGACCTGCTGACTTTATCTCCTGTCACTCACTCTCTTGCTCACTCTCCTCTAGCCACACTTGCCTTCTTGCTGTTCCTTAGATACTCCCAAGTCCATTTGTAATCAGCTAACTTCCCCCAGTTCCGTGATCCCACACCCCTCACTCCAACCAGTCTAGCCTGGTACCAGTGGAGGTAGATTTAGAGAGAAGAAAAGTGCACATCCAAGACTCTGTAGCACATGCAGTGGTAGAGTCACAATAAAAATATTACAGCTTTAGCATTCCTAGTTTCTGTAATTTGAATGCTTTCAAGTGTAAGAGGGACTGGATTTAGAGCTACAGAAAGTCATAGCTAGAATCAATGGGGAAAAGTTACAGAGAGAGATTTCTGCTCAGTTTAAAGAGTGCTACAAAGAGACTTAGACTCCCACACAATAATAGTGGGGAACTTTAACACCCCACCGTCAATATTAGACCAAGTGGTCCAGATCTGTCAAAGATCAGATGGTTGTAGATGCATGATGTTATTTCTGAGGCCTCTGTTCTGTTCCATTGGTCTGTATATCTGTTTTGGTACTGTACTATGCTGTTTTGGTTCCTGTAGCCTTGTAGTATAGTTTGAAGTCAGATAGCATGATGCCTCCAGCTTTGTTCTTTTTGCTTAGGATTGTCTTGGCAATACGGGCTCTTTTTTGGTTCCATATGCAGTTTAAAGTAGTTTTATCCAATTTTGTGAAGAAAGTCAGTGGTAGCTTGATGGGGATAGCATTGAATCTATAAATTACTTTGGGCAGTATGGCCATTTTCACGATATTGATTCTTCCTATCCATGAGCTTAGAATGAAAGCTGAAATTACTCCTTGTTCCATAAGCTGCAGGATGGATATCATGTTAGCAGGCGTGTAAACAACGTTAATGTCCTTGTACATATCCATTAGAGCTGTTGGGTGACTAGGTGCATTTTCATTGAACAATAATATTTTGAAAGGAATCTTTTTCTCTGAACAGTGACTCTCAACAGTGGGCTTAAACTATTCAGTAAACCATACT